TATTTTACGATATAACACTTAAATTTTAAAATTTTCAAGTTATAAAGTCATATAACATGATAAAATTGAATTTTGAACTTGTTATAACACTTGAATTTTGAACAATAACACAATAATATTGCGGTATAACACTTAAATTTTGCTAAATAACGCGTCAATAATTCGTAATAACATATGTATTCTAAATATAACAAGTATATATTACAGTATAACACAATTATTTAAAAAATAATGTGGTTTAATTAAAGTATAACACAAGATTTTCGATAAATAATGTGTTATTATATACCGTGACGGCGGAATAACACATATATGTGTTATATAACGGTAGTATAATACATGGGGATATTCCCCATGTGTTACACCGCGATAACACATGGGGAATATTCCCCATGTGTTATGTCACATTAAGCACATAAAGTGAGTGAGAACATAATATCCCTATAATTTCAAACTTTTTGTAAGTACAAGTGAGCTTGGAATTGACTTTGTCAAGTTTCACAGTTTAGTGTTTGTTTGTTCCTTGGTTATCCAAATTCCTTACAATATATTCCAAGTCACTCTCTGGAAGTCATTCAATTGCCAGTCCATAAAGCCCATCTAATAACTGTTGCTGGAACACGGAGTAAAGCTTTCTCGAATAAAAGGTGACAGCTTGCCTAAGAAATGGATTGCCTTTTACCACTGGCGTAGTGACCGATTGATCTCTTTTGAAATCTTCATCCTTCTCATTCCGGTGCCATGATTTCATAATATTTTCAAGACCAACAAAACAATCCACGAGAGAGTTAGTAGGCTTTGAAACACCGTGACAAATATTTTTTGTTGACTCACTTCGTTGTGTTGATAATATTCACATGCCAAATATTTCTTTATTGAAGGTTGTGGACCATTTATGTCTGATCTTATACATGTCATCTAACCAAATGTTATTGTGGAGGTTCCCCTTCTCAATCATTGTGGCCCAAATTTCTTCAAATTCCCCGTCGGTATCACACTTGCTCATGCATTTGTAAAAGAGATCGCCCACATTCTTGACACCCAAAGGACAATGCACTTTTGAAGGAAATTTCTTGTATATATGCCATTGGCATAATCTGTGTCGTGTTTGTGAGAGACAATCTTCAATGGCTCGAGCCATCGCTTGATCTTGATCTGTGAAAATCGTCATTGGATACTTGTCACCCTTTATTCAAATAAATGTTTTGAATAACCAACTGAAAGAATTAATGGTCTTATTAGACAAAAAACTCACTCAAAAAAGGACATTTTGTGAATGGTGGTTCACCCACATGAACGGAGCACATCATAAATTATACTTATTTAATCGATAACTTGTATTAAAAATTATTACGTCACCAGAACAATCATAATCAAACCTGGATAACCCGTCGCTCCAAAAAAAACTTGTGAGTCTGCCACACTCATCAGTATCAAAATCTCAAGCAAACATTGTATCTTTAACTTGCCTCTCCATGAACAACTGTATTAGTACATTGACATATTCTTGCTCTATTCTTTCCTTTCTTTCTCTTTGAATAAAATTGTATGCATCTCTTTTCATACATTCTGGGTTCTCCACCCCCCGACCTCCGTGGCCATAAAGTTATATGCATTTGTTGCTTTAAACCCTGCTCCTGTCAAGCAAATTTGCATTTAACTCGCTTATCTTTCTGCTAGAACGCAAAAGATACTTATCACTACTTTCGACAAGAGGGTGGTTATGGCTTTCAATGAATTTCTTAATAGTCCAATTTCCTTCAACATCAATGACATATCTAACCATGGCTTGGCATCCAGTTCTCGTGTTAGTTTTTCTAAACTTCACAGTATCTGTCAGGTTTGACTCCTTCTTGTGGTCAGCCTTTCCGCAAATAAAATCTTTAGGTTTAATCTTCTTCGAGTTTGGCCAATAATTGCTATGATCCTTTCTAACAGAAAAGCTACATGATGTGCATAAGCACAATAACATTCATATGCTTCTTGATCATTGTGCACAACACTACGAAGAAATGTCTCTGTGATTGAATCATTGCACTGCACATCACCACCCCATTTTAAAAATAGTCAGATCGTTATAAAGCAAACAATAACAATACAAAAACTATACAATAACATCACCATAATACTACAAAAACTATACAAAAACTATACACAAAAACTATACAATAACATCACCACAATAGTACAACACTGACACCACTATAATAATTCAATCCCTAAACAATAACACCACTGTAACACTATAAAAAGTAAATAATAACATCCATAACACCTGAGTAACATGACAAAAATACCTAAGTAATACAACAATAACACTATCAGGACAATACAATCCATAAACTCTAAACGATAACACACTACACCCTAAGTTCTGACAATAACACAATTATAACACTAGAAAAACTTAACTATAGTATTACATAACACGACAATAACATGAGAATAATACAACAATATTACAAAGATAACATTACTAGAACAACACAATCCCTAAACCCTAAACCATAACAATAACACCACTATAGCAAAACTAAATCTAAACATCATATAACACCTCAATAACACGATAATAAGACAACAATAATACAAAAAAAAATACAACAATGACACCAATATTACAAAATAATTCCTAAACTTTAAACGATAACACTACACCCTAAACCACTAGAAAAACTAAACTATAAAACCACATAGCACCTTAATAAAACAACAATAATACGACAATAATACAACACAAAATCATTAAAAAAAAACACAGCTCTAGCACTATAATAATCCTCAAACATATACTAAAATAACAAATCTAAACACCAACATAACACCAAAAATAACACCATGCTAACTATAAATTAAAACAACTAACAAAAACCAGCTATAACCCACATAACAATGCAATGCAACAGTAAAATAAACCCTAAACTAAAGCAAACTCACTTCTGATTTAAGCTTCTCCACATTATTTAATGATCCCATTTCGTCTCCGGAGAAATCCAACGCACCAACTTGACAGAATCCTCTTATTTTGGATTGGCGGAGGCATAAAGTGGGACATCAAGGCTTTTTTGGCGGGATTCTATACAGACAAAAAGTAACTTTTTCTCGTCTTGGGCGGGTCGGGTTTCAGACGGGTCGGGTCGCCTGTCTTAATTAATTTATTTTACCTTTTACTGTGGTGGGTCCCAGAAGTCCACGTGGAGAGCTTGCATTCGACTCCGCTTGCAGCACTGCCTGCGGTCTCCGGATGAAATAAGCGCTCTTAGATGGGGGGAAGAGGAGAGGAGATGTGATTACACCTGCACGCTTGCCCTGGCCGGATATGGCCCGAGTCTGTTTTTTATTTATAATTTTATATTGGGCTGGCCTAAGATCTGTCGGTGGGCCTTGAAAAAAATTAATTTTTCATACCAAAGGCCATTCTCATTTCTCTTAATTAGGAAAAAAAAATTAGGTCAAGATAAATTTAGTTTGATTTAACTTGATTGAGCCTCTAAATTATTATTTTTAAAAAAAATTAATAGAAGTTTGTAATTTTAAGTAATTGCTTATGTATTTTTATTAGTTTTAAAAAATAATTAATTAATAAAATCTTTAATATTATCCTTCAAATCGTATTTGTTGATTTAAAATTTTAAAAAAAAATTACACTATTTGAACGATTGAAAGAATCTACTACAAGATTTTTAAATTGATTTTATTGGTACAAACATTTTCTTATACGTTTACGTGAATTAGTAGCTAATGTATACACATGAAAAATGTAAAATTTTAAACTGAGAACATCTTGATATAAAAATATAAATAAGTTGAATAAAATACGAACAAAAAATACATACATATCACTCGTCAATTTCTATTGAATTATACATATCTAACATGTGGACTTCATTTTTTAGACATTTGCCATCTTATTTTTGCATGAAAGTTGTATTTCATTTTTTAAAATATTAACAAGTGATACTTTTATGTGATATGAAATATTTGATTGGTATTAATATAAAAATCAAAATTTATGGCTAGATAAAGAAGAGAAAGAAGGAGAAAATTAACTGACTCGAAAACTTGCAATCACAAGCTATGCCTGTAAGGTTGAGCCATTGGGTGGGCCGGACAACATGGGTTGGGCTCATTTAAGCATTGACTAAGTCAAAACGGGTTCGGACGGGAAAAACCCGCTAATTTTTTATTTTTTTTTGTAGCCAAGTCTATCAATTCTAAGCGGGTTTTGCGAGCCTGTAGGGTTATCCAGCCAATGACCAGGTCTAGATGAGATCTTGGGATTGTTGTTTCGATTTAGATTTTTTAAGTTAATTTTTAAATTAATTAATTAATAATTAATTTTAAATTAATATATTCTTAAATTAATTAAGGACTATATAAATTTATATTGTACTTATTTAATAATTATTTAATTAAATAATATATTTTAAAATTCAAACTATTTAATATTTAATCAATTTAAAACACATTTTTAATTAATATAATTAATGTTTAATAAATTAATAATTGATAGACACTAAATAATTGCTTGATAAGTAATTAGTTTAATAAATTGTTCTAATAATTAATTTATTTATTGAATATTTAATTAGAAATAAAATTGAAACTAAATCAAATAAATTAAATATTTAAGTTTTATCATAATAATAAAATAATTGAATTTTAACTATGATTTTTTTATTATAACATGCATACCAAATTTTTAAATCCTCACATAAATTGCTATACAATCTTTTCCAAGATTTACAAAATCTGGATTTACTAATTTATTGTACTAACTTAAATCTAATACGTTGCCATACAGCCCTCAATGATCATAAAAGAACAGATTTTGTTTTGAGTGTATCAATATAGCAAGATTGCAATTGGATTTGATTATCTTAATGCTCTTATATGTCATAACAAGTCAAACAAAGTTAGAAATCAAACGTTTAATAAAGCTAAGTCCTCAGCAGGTATATTAAAAAAAAAAAAAAAAAAAAAAAAAAAAAAAATCTCATTTATAAATTACAATGAAATCCACCCTGTCAAAAGATTATTTGAGAAAAGAAAATGAGCATTTTAATATGCTTTTCTGCTTGGTATAGCATAATATACTGTTGTTTTCAGTCTCACCATTGTTTTCATCCACATCTGTAGTTTCTTCTCCCCCTCCGTCCCTCATGTCATGCAATGGAGCGCTTCGAGACTTCACAAATATTTGCGCCAGGTGACACGTACAACTTTAGCAGACCACACCTGAAACCCATCAGATAGCCTAACAAAAGACTTGAGATGTGTGCTACAAGATTCGTCGCGGTAGAGTAACGATTATTTATCGTCTTAACATTACAAGAAAATCCAACACATTTTTGATAATTAAGTCAGAATAACAATAACATCACAAACACGAGAAATATACGTAACATAACACTAGAAATGACAATGCGCCCCAAAAAAAATTTAGAATAACATAAGACTATTAACACAAAGAGTAGTTTACAAAAATATGACTGGCAAGGCATTAGCACCTCATGGGAATAAAAAGCCTAAAGATCCTAGTTCAAAATTGATGATAAAATATAAGAGCGGAAGGAATGAGAGACATAACTAGCCAATAGATTACTTTATAGCTAAGTACAATAGCTAGTTACCAGAATGTGAGACATCTATAAGAAAAATCTCCAAACTCACAACCATCTTCAACAATTACTTTGAAATCTTGATTGTCCGAATCTCATTAGCAAAACACAAAAGTGGCTTTGTCAGATGAGCTCATCCTCTTAGCAGCAGAAGTTCCAACAATTCTTTCGAGCTGACAAACAAAAGCCAACTATCAGCAAGTTCTGACGCTAAAAATTCATGAAGAGCATCAGTTGAATATGAAAACCGGTGTATTGTTTAAGAAAAGAAAAACTAGTGTAACATCATATATTTTTTCAAATCTTATGTGACGCAATCTAGGAAAAGCATAAATACTTCAGCTTTTTCATTTTAGGAAAGTGATGAAAAACAATTTTATAAAATTTTATATTTCATTTCAAGCATTTTAATATATAGATGTACTTATAAAGATATAAGTACACTAACGGTTACAAACTAAATCCACAAAATAAATAATTAGAACTACGCTCATTTAATGATGTTATTGTTTACAAATGAAGTTAATGTAGCAATAAAAGAGAACTCCAATTTTTTCAGCAAATAAATAAAAATTAGGTGTGTCAATTAGGGTTACAAGTCTAACCAGAATTTCACCAGATGCATGACCTAAACCAAAAACATTTATTAAACTAGTCAAAAATTGAACCATGACTGCTTTCATCTCGATTGATCCAAACCCGACCCATTTTCAAGCCAACTCACCCAAACCAAACAACCTGCATAATTTTTTTAACATTGGGTCAAATTCATGTTAAGTTCGGATTAGTGAGTCTATTTTACGTTGACGGTCAACCTGAACCTAACCATAAAAATTAAACATATTAAGAGTCAAGATTCGAACCTGAATAAATAATTAATTAGGTCAACCTAAACCCAAATTTTTTTAGTCAGGTTCAGTTCATGTTAATTAACATTACTATTGTGAATGCTGTTGAAGACTTCAGCATGAAATCTTTTAGGAGGATTAATATATATATATATATATATATATATAAACAGTATAGCTCCAAGAAAAGACAAATAATGGCAAAAGAAGAAGAAGATGACCAAAAAGAGGGGAAAAGGAAAGTAGGGTTAGTGAAGAAAAATAAGCTCACGGAGGAAAACTACTAGCTTAGCTTCAGTATTCTAACATAAGGTTATATATATAAAGGAAGTAACCCATCCTAATTTACAATCTTACCAAAAATATCTAATCTAAATATGAAAAGTTAATAATTCTGATATAAACAAAAAGCATAAATAGGCAAGGCTAATCAAGGAGTTTCCAAAGTTGTTTACCCCCAATCCTTTGATGACCGGCCGAACCACCACGGAAGGGAGGCCGATACCTTCCTAAGTTTTAACACTCTCCAGTAAGTGGAGTCATAGATGTTGTAGAGGCCAAGCTTGATATCAAACTCTAAGAAGGTGCTTAAAGGAAAGACTTTGGTGAAGACATCAACAACTTGTTGGTGTGTTGGAATGTAGCTTAATTGTATAATTTTGCCATTAACATTTTCAGAAATAAAGTGTCTATCTATTTTAATAGTTTGGACCTGTCATGATGCACATGATTCTTGATAATACTGATAGTTGATTGACTGTCACAAAATATCTATATAGGACTATTGGAGATGCATCCCAATTCCCTTAACAATTTTTGAATCCAGATTCCTTCCCAAATTCCTAAGGCGAGTGCCCTATATTCTGATTCTGCATTGCTTCTAACAACAACAACTTGCTTCTTGCCGCTCCATGTAACCAGATTTTCTCATAAATAGGTTTCCTATCCTACCGGGGACCTTAGTCAGTGAGTTCTCCAGCCCATGGCGATTGCTTGAGTTTATAGAGATACTTCTTGAGTATAGATACTAGATGTTTATTAGAATTACTCTCGAGTCCCGCTGTATCTCCATGTATGCTTTTTCTTCAAGATCCTCATTAAGAAATTTTTTTTTATATCAAGTTGGTGCAATCCCCACTCCTTGTTAACTTCTACTGAAATTAGAACTCTGAATAGTGTTTAGTTTGACAACTGGTGCAAAGGTCTCCTGATGGTCAATCCCAAAGGCTTGCGTGAAACCTTTTGCAACCAGGCTAAATTTGAATCTCTCAATACCACCATCAGTTCTGTACTTGATGTTAAACGTTCATTTGCATCCAATTGGCATGTTATCCTAAAGAAGTTTATTGAGGATCCATGTGACATACTTTGCTACTTGAATCTCCTCTTCAACTGTTTTCCTCCATTTTGAATTTTCAATAACTTCATGAATGAATTTAAGAATCCGTATACAATCAAGGTTAGACAAAAATGCTTTACAGGATGAGGATAGCTTTCCATAAACTACATATTCCTGAATTGAATATTTAGTACAACTTTCATTGTCATCAACACCAGAAGAGAAGGGAATAACTCATGAGCACTATACTCCTTACCCGAATTTCAAGTGAGTGAACTCAGGTTTTGATTTGAGCAATTCTGTCTTTGCAAGTTGTCTTCCACCTACTCAACTTTTTTCATTCTCATTGTGTACACACGAAGTTCTTTGTTATGAACTTCAAGTTGGGTTGGTTGGACATTCTCATCAAGGATAAGAGGGCTAAGTGAAAGAGGATTGGGAAGAGAAGTTGGTTGCGAGGTAGTTTGGGTGTGATCAAATGTATCCCAAAATTGATGTTCATTTGCACACTCCTCTTGAACATCATATTTAGGAGAATATGGTTGATTTTAAAAAAATATATCATCCACTGAATTTACAACAACAATGCCACAACATGGCTTTTTTTTCGACAGACACAAACTTAACAAACTCATAGACTTGAGAAAAGGATGTAGGTGGGACCAATTGTGTGTTTAGAAAGATACTTTTTTTAGAGATCCTTGATGCATTTCAACACTACTAATCATCATCCCCAAATCCATCACCTGAAATTCACAAAAGCTTGCAAGAAATTTAGTTATACATTGTTTATCATGAGTAAGCTAACTAATTGAAATTAAATCACAGTACTGCTGTGGAACCTATAAAATAGAGGAAAAGTTCCACATGTCCTTCTCTAGTAATATTTTTGTGTGAACCATATGCAAGTTTGACAATTCTAGATATAGAACTCTCTTGATAGTTGACTCGAGCATTAATGTCTCCAGTCATATGATTAGAAGCTCCTGAATTTATGATCCAATGTCCGAGGATCTGTTTGGGGTAGCTGCAACTTACTGATAATCTGCTGATAAGCAACTGATCAAGATAAGCTACATATTAGCAGCTGATCTGGATAAGCTGGTTGACAGTTTGATTTGTGTTATTGAAAAACAACTGATTTGCAGCTGATTGTCGATAAATGATCATTCTGCCCCTGTGCAGTAATGCAACTACTTAAGAAGCCTTTGCAAAGGCCACCAACTACAAGATCTCCTCAACAACTACTTAAGAAGTCCGATAATTCAAAAATGATACATATAGATCCCAACTCATATAGAAGATGGAAACTTGCTAAAACCCAAGCTAAAGTATCATATGTAGTTCCCTCAGCTTATCAGATCAACAACTTGAAATCCATTCAGAATACTGCAGAAGACAAATAAAAAATCTCAAACAAACACAGAGAATCGCATGGGGAAAGCAAAAAATCTTGTGATGAAAAAATCTCGGGAACCAATATGTAAAATCTCGCAAAAAATTCTAACATAGAGAGCCAAAAATTGCGTGGGAAAGCTATGATTCCATCGACAACCGCATAATTACACAAAGCCACAAATCGCAGGAACTTACAAAGAAACGTAATAGAAGCACCGAATAAGAAGGGAGAGAAGGGCAATGCCAAGGGCAAGAGAGGCGCGGGTGAGAAAGATCGATCGTAAAGCTAAAGCAAAGAGAGGGACATGGTTTCAAGATCGAAAGGGCGGTGGGGTAATAATCTGTAAAGGAACGCGGGCCGCAGGGTCAATCACGCGGCCACGATCCTTCGAAAATAACTTCCATTTCGCCCGTGCGTTTCCGGATTGCCCACCTAATGCAATAACCAAATAATCCGTCGGCGTTTTGAAAACGCGATACACGTAAATTAGCTGCCCCAAACGGTACCTAAATCTCCCATTAATGATGAGATGGGAGAAAGATACATTACCTTGGTGTGTCACGAGGCTGGTACCATGTTCTAAATTACCCTCAAGGTGTTTCTTCAATACCTCAAGTTGTTCCTTGGTGAATGGTTCATATAAATATTTGTCAGCATCATTAGGTTTGCTCTGTTAAACTTTCTTTCCAAATTTAGGTTTTCAATCTAAAGGTTTTCCATAGAGTTTCCAACATTAATCTTTGAGATGCCCAATTTTCATGTAATAGTGTCATGTGGGATGTCTCTTCTTGAGTTTTGAATCATGGGAAGAAATATGGGCGTACAAAGCAAAGCTTTTAGCACTTAATGAACTCTCATTTCATGTCAACATCAACTTCTTTTGACCATCCACTCCCTTAACTTCAACAAATGCTTCACGAGTAGTTGGAAGATGCTTAATTCCCATGATCCTCCCTCTCATTTCATCTAATTTGTTAGTTCTACCAGGAATTAGATAGTTATTCTCTTCTTGATGATGGACTTGAACATCACGACATCATGTGAAACTATGGGTGTAAAGAAGTTGAGTTGAGCTCGAGCCACCCTCGGCTTGAGCTTGAGATTGATTAATTTTAGTGAGTTTGAGTTCAAACTCGAGCTCGAGTTTAAGTCTACTAGTTCGAGCCAACTCGCAAGCCAGCTTGTTTATTAAAAAAATAGAAAATAATAATAATTTAAGGTAATGATATAATAAAATGACAAATAGAATGAGCAATTATGAGAGTAATAATAAAATAATCATTTAATATAGAATACAAATTTTTTTAATCGTTTTTAATATTTTAAATATAAATTTCTCAAGTTTTTGAGTATATTTTATAAACAAATCGACTCACGAACTAACGAGTTGAGTCGAGGCTAGCTTGAGCTTGACCTGTTAGCTCATTCAGTTCATGAGCAACTTATCAAGTCGAGCTCGAGTCGGCTTGATTCACATCCTTATGTGGAAGTTTCCACACATAAATCTCTACATATCTAGTTACAGCCAATACTTTATCAAGGTGTTGAAATATTGAGTAACACTAAGCTCTTCTTGACGAAGATCATGAAGTTTGGTCTCGATCTCAAACAAATATGTAATATTCTTGGTGCTGGAATAAAATTTACTTGCAGACTCACAGATGTCTTTGACAGATTTATAGAGCAAAAAATCCTCTTCCATTTAAGTGGTCATTGGTTTGATTAGCCAATACATGATCATATGGTCCTGAATCTTCCATATGCGATGGTTAGGATAAATGAACTTAGGAACTCCGTTCTCTTCCGTGAGATGTTCCTCCTTTCCTTTCCCACACATGTACATAGACACGACTTGGAAAAAGTTATGTCCATTGAGTTTATGATTTGTGATATATGTAGAGAGTTCAAGAGCCGTTTAGATAGAATTCCTGAACTCTGATTCATAACTAATCTCCCAAGAAGAACTAATCGCTTTCATCCCATACTTGGTCATAAAGCCTATGAGTATTTAGGGCTGTTGCAGGAACAGAAGTTCGGTGGCTGTTGTCGTTGCTGCTAAAGGAAGAGAGGACATGTGGGTGCTGCTGGAAAAGAATAGTCAGGAGAAGGGGGCAGCAGGAAGAATCCAACGAAGGAGGTTCTGCCGCTAGAAAGATTCTGGTGGCAAAAATGAACAGGAGAGGGGCTTAAAGGGAGAATCTGGCAACAAAGATGAACAGAGGAAGGCTACCCGGAAAGTTCCAGCTGCAGAGAAGAGCAGAGGAGGGTCTGCAGTCGACTTCTGCAGCCGGCTGAAGGGATTCCGACAGCTATTGGAGGTGTTCCAATGGCTAGAAGAAGCTAGGGTTTGTTCCCACACTCTGATACAATGAAGAAAAACCGGCTTAGGAAAGAAAAATAATAGCTTAGCTTCATTATTGTAACATAAGATTATATATGTAGAGGAACCAATGCACTCCTAATTTACAATCATAGCAAAAAATATCTAATAGAAATATGTGAAGTGAATAATTCTAATATAAACAAAAAACATAATAGGAAAGACTAATCAAGGACTTTCCAAAGTTGTTTCCCCCCAATCCTTTGATGACCGGCTGACCTACCATGGAAGGGAGACTGATCCCTTTTCCTAAATTTCCACAGTTAGAGGCCGAAAACTTAACTTTTCACAGTTTCCTCTATAAAGCGAGTTCTTCACAGGTTTAAAAGCTTTAAATGAGAACAAAATTCTTGAGGTAAAAATATTATCTTGAGATTAACTGACAGAGATTTGTAATTAAGATAAAAATTCCATTCAACTGAGGACTTTGATGTTTTATTAGGCTGTATACCAAAGATCAAGGTTTCAAAGTGGGCAGGTGGAGGAAATCCATCGTGGTGTTAACATAATATTTATAATGGAAAATCTCTAATATGAGGAGAAAATTACTCAAAGGTCAAATGTTTGCACATTTCTACAACTATATTGAGTTTCCATATGAATGCTTATAGAATTTTTTCATATTGAACATACTAATGACAAATAATGCTGTCAAAAAGTCTAGTATTTTGCGTTTGATCATCAGTTCGAAATAACTTTAGAATATATAGATAGAATTTAAGACTTTTGATTCTCCAAAAATTTATTATGCATAATTATCTAAATGCTAATACTTACATGTCGAACTATAACTCAAATGAATAAAATTTTAAGTTATATAACAAATTGTAATTATATTCATTGAAGCTATTTTAATATATTTTAAGATTAATAAAAATCACGCTAAAGATTAGAAAATGATTTATAAATTGTTGAGGAAAAATCACTTGTTTGCAAAATTTTTACAATGTAAACTTTAGTTAAGAGTAGCATTTTGGGGTCTCGATAAATTCAAAACATCTAGTACTTTGCATTTGATCGTCAATTCTAGATAAACTCATGTTATGTTCATAGAATATATGCCACTTGATTGTCAAAAAAATTATGCATTATCAAGTATCTAAATGCAAATATTTAAATGACAAGAAATATTCAAATGCATAAAATTTGAAGCTATATAATCAAAGTTGTAATCATATTCATTGTTGATATTTTTAATATATTCTAAAACTAAGGGAAATCACGTTGAATATATAAGAATAGTTTTAAAATTATTGATAAGAATCAATTATTTACTAGCTTTTAAAATGTGAATTTTGGCTAAAAATGTCACAATATTTGGGTACATAATAAGAGGCTAAGACATTTAATAAATCCTTAAAAGATGAAAAAATTATTAAAATAATCTAAACCAAAGAATATTACACAGTTTCATACTTTTCTAGGTTTAGCTATATACTGCAAAAAGTTCGTTAAGGGAATCTCAAAGATAGCATAGCCTTTATCTAAATTGATACGATTTGAATGGACGAAAATTGTTAGTAGTATTTAAGAACTAAAAAAAGGGCATACGACAATTGTGCAAAAAAAATTATATTTTTAATAATACATCATTAAAAGAACCAGGATGTGCTTATCATCGAGGAACAAAGAAATGATTGCTATGTCTCAAAACAATTAAAATCTAAAGAAAAATAATATCTACACGCCTATCCTCATGTAGTTGGTACGAATAATATAAAAAAATTGTCAAAATAGCTGGTAATAAAGTAAAATGGTTTTTAAGAAAATTCTTAAATAATGACTATAATCTTTATAGATTAAAAGAAGAGACATTTACATAAATACCACATAATTCTTATGAATTTATATATATATAACACTTAAAACTTTCATATTTATATATATAACTCCTAAAATTTTAATATCACATAAAAATACCACCATTATTAAATTTTTAAAAATGAAATACACCTGTTTATGCGTAAGTTTATGACACCAAAGTGTAATAAATGCAAATATCAAACTTTAGGAGTTAGATATGTAAATACATAAGAATTGCGCAGAATGTATGTAAATTTTGCTAAAAAAAATGCACATGCTACTCAGAATCAAACAATATAGCTTACCCTGAAAAGATCAAAACGTGAAAAAAGCACACTGCATGACATATTTTTTGATCCTTCAAGCATATTTAGGATCTGTAAGCACAAAGTAAAAATTAGATGTCTTCCACATAGAACGAACAAAGAAAAAATTCAAAAAAGAGTTATCAGGTAACCTCAGGATAAAACTCTTTCCTTTCTGGAAGAGAATAGATAATCAAATTCGTTATTCCACGAATCTGCATTAAATAAAATTTAATTAAAATAGTCACATAAACATCACAAGAATATAATCAATAACAACGCTACACTTCCACAGATTATTGGTTATCAAAACAGAAATGCGACCCCTAACGAGAAGTAACATATTGTCCTTAGCCACAATTTGAAGTCTAATCTGACTGAATGTGCGTTAACATCATGGACAATGAATGAATCAGAAATCATTAAAAATATAATATAATAAATTGCTAAGCTGCAAAAAGAACCTTATATCTGTGGTAAAAATGAGCTCTTTCAGTGTAAAGCATGATCTTTCGCTTTCCTTCAAAAAACCAAAGGCGTGAGCGGGACACATCACTTTGTTTGGTGTACCTAAAACAAAAATGAAAACAATAATAAGAAGAAAATTATCAAACAAAAAATTCAATTTCTATAGATAGATTTGACAAAATCAATAATATGACATAAGAGATTCTAGAAGTTTGTAACCTAACTTATAAAAGACTAAAAGATATAAAAAGTTGAAAATTGACTTACTCGCCAAGCAAACAAAAGGAAGCATTCTGAGATTTTAAGAAGTTTCGTATCCGCACAAATTCAAAGTAAGAACTAATAAATACCAAAGTGCCACCCTGACAAAAAATAATCATGCCATAAGCATTGAAATAATAAGAGAGTAAATGACAACAAATGCACAGGTCTACAATGTAAACATGAGAAACATTCGTGTTGTCACAAATAGTCAAAATCTTCTTAAAGAGAAATATTCTGACACAGAAAATGCTACTCTTAATTGTATGTTCCCTTTAATTAAAAGAGAATTCACATGTCAAGAAGATGAAAAACAAGATCTAGGAGGTAAAGGTGTGTAAGGTCTGAAGTACAATATAAGATGATTTTAAAGGACACTTGGGCTCTCATCATTATAACTTCACAGTTGCATTTTCTGAAAATGAAAATAGATGTTCATAGTTCTAGAAATCTAATAAATCAATAGAGAAAGCTTTTTCTAAATTTAGGGGAAAAGAATCTCCATATGACCTTTGAGATTTGAAAATAGCCCCAACCATAAAACTTAGAAAAAAAAAAGAATTACGAGAAGATGGAGGTCCAAGTTTTAAGCAATCTCTTAGTAAAAGTAATAGTAAGATTGCATGCATAAACCCCGCCCCAAACCTTGCATTAGTGAGAGATCCATGCTCTGATTAAGAACCCTTTAGAAGGTTTCTTAGGGGGAAGGGCTCCCTTAATTAAATAGACTACAAAATCTTTTCAAATATAAAAAACAAAATGTTATTTGCTTCTAGACTTTAGAATTATTACATATAAACTTATTTGGACCAACCAGCGTCAACAACCTACGAAGGAAACAATATAGATATGTTATTGTAAATGTCTTTGCTAGATACACTTGATTATAAATTTAGTTGGTAAGACTGATGCCCGGCTAGAACTTACAAATTGTGGTAAATGGGTTAGGAAAAGAAGGCCTTGATGATGTCTAGAATTAGAAGTGACTATGTTCGATAAATCATAAGTGATTTTAAACTTTTTTGTGATAACCATTAGATTAGCCATCAATTTTTCCATCCCATGATACATCGTAGTAGAGTGATGTTGTAGAACAGAAGAACATTTCCCTTGTAAACATGGTCAGGATTAACACCTGCTCCAATCAATTATTAGGAAAACAAAGGACAGTAAGAAAATCTATTATCTCATTTTCATGTATTTGGATGTAAATGTCTTTGGAAAGAGCGACAGCAGCAGCGGGATTGGTGACGCCATCATCGTCGGAGAGGCCGTTAACATCCGCTTCGTCGCTGTGGCAGTCATCGTCGATGCAGAGATCTCTGACTTCGACGATTGCTGGCAAGATGAAGAAAGTGTTGAGGCTTAAATCGTCACAGAAGAGCCCCAGAAAGAACAATAGCCCTCAAGGATGCTGAAGAAGTCAATGACAATTGGGGAGCTCATGGGGATACAGATGAGTGTAAGAGCAAACTGATTCGCAGATGAGAGCATGGGCTGCTCAGGATATCTGCTAGCCAGCTTGGGAAACGTGTAGAATCCATAATTTTGCCACTTAAGTTAATGCAACAATTTAAAGCTTCTGATTTTCCAGACTAGCAGGAGTATGAAGCTTGGCAAAATAGAAATTTGAAGCCTCTTGAGACTGAATTGCTTCTACACCCTCTCATAGCATTAGATAAATCAGAAGCAGCATCCCAAAGGCTTAGGCAGATCATGCGTAGAACTTCAGAGAGGCCAATAGGGACTGGAAAGAATTCTGGAGCCTTCCCTGCTGGCAAATTCTCTTCTGCAGTCTTTCTCGATGTCGGAATTTCCACCGGACCTACCAGCTGCTGGCTAGACCTCCTACTAAGAGCACCGAACCTACTCGTGTGACCGGTTCTCTCCCCTATAGCCTTTCCCGCCACCGGACCTCCCTTCTGTAGGTTTCTCTTGCCGCCGGATCTACCCCTGCAGATTTTCCTCTACAGATTTCAGGCGGCTGTACCTCTTCCTTGAAGGTCCCTAACAACCAGAAACCATCTATTTCGACTAGAAAACATCCTTGTGGACCTTACCGACACCTTCCTGCAAGCCACAAATTTCTGTTGATCGCAAATTCTGGCAGCCACCTCTGTGGCGTCCTCTGCCATTTCATACATGGATTGTGGAAGCGAAGAGAAGCATGTTACAGAGGAGTTCATCTTTGTTTTGCTTTCAAAATGACTTGAGGAAGTTTATTAAAAAAGCGAGACTGGATGCATCCTTGAATGGAATCCCAACAATCGACCTAGATACTCTTCTTCGTTTGTTTCTTCCCTAATGTCAAAAACTCTATACAAGCCCTCCTCCAGAACTTTTACCTGCAGCAGACCCTCCTTCAGAGCTTTTCCTACAATAGACTCTCCTTCGAAGCTTTTCCAGTATCAAACCCTCCTCCAGAGCCTTTTTTGTATCAAGCCCTCCTTCGGAGCTTTTCCTGTAATAGATCATCCATCGTAATTCTTCCTGCAGCAGATCAACCAGAGCTTTTCCTTTTTTCTGCAGGTCTAGTTCATACCCACAACTTTTTTTGGAGGTTTTATACTTCCCTAGAAACTTCTCTATAATATTATCTGTACCGCCTACCTACAGACAATGCAAAAACTGCAGTCAACTAGAAGTCGATTTTTTCTGCAGGCTGTCTGCTTCCCAGCAACCTCTCCTACAACATTACCTGCAGGAGCCTTCAGCCTACCTACAAATACTGCAGTTACCTATAGACACTACAGTTATCTACAAATACTGTAGAAACTGCAGTAACAAACAACCGCAGTCAACTAGAAGTCAGCCTTTCCTACAAGTTGTCTATTTCCTAACAAACTCTCCCGCGACATTACTTGTAAGAGCCTACCACCTATCTATAGACACTACAAGAACTACAGTCAAAGACAATCGCAGTACAGAATGACGACTTTAAGTTTTACTTTACAAGATCTTCCCCTTCCATTGTTTGATGTTTTCAAATCCAAGTTGAACAATATTTTAATCATGTTTCAACTTGAGGGGGAGTGTTAGAAATTATATTAGGAAATAATTTATTATCGTTAAAAAATATGAGGATTAGATTTATTTCCTAATATAACTTTCCTAATATAACTTTATTTCCTTAATATAACTTTATTTCCTTTTCTATTTTAGATTTATTTTCTTAGATTGGATTTATTTCCTTTTCTATTTTAGACTTTCTATTTTATGAGGTTTCCTTTATCTTCAAATAATTAATATGAATTGATTAATTGAAGATATTAAATGTTATACTTTTCCTTTCCTGTTATTTCTTTTTTATTGTCTTCCATATTCTAGGATTCATGTAAGGGTTATTTGCACCATCTTTCATATCAATAAAAATATTCTGTTGAATTCTGAAAATCAACAAACAGATTAAGAAAAGTAGTTTGAAACAAAGCTTTATTAGTAGTTTTGTAGCCAAATAGAAAGAATAGATTTTAAAAAATCGTATGGCCTGGTGACTAGAGCAAAATCCATCAAGTTGTTGAGATTTGCTAGCTTTAAGAACTTCCAATCTATATTAATTGAATGCAAAAAGTTTAAATAATACAAGTAAAAAATATGCATCTATAAAACACTTCAAAGATGCACTTATTACTATCATCCCGAGCAATTATATAAATTTAAGAAATCACTTTATTGACTCAAGCAAGCACTCAGAACCTCACCTGACAAGTTCATTTTTATTCGGCATAAGTTTTACTGGGGAAAGGATATACACAACCTTATTTATCTAATAAGATTACTAATGACATGAATATTACTCAAATTTATGTGGAAGGCATTTTATTTATAGTAGTTAATAAATATCTTTATAGAGAATTTGTCACATCATGATGAAACAATTGAAATAAATATATGATGTGTCAGATCAACTTCTTGGACTACAAGTTGTTCAAAAGGTAGGTGGCATCACCATATCTCAAATATAGTATATTAATGATCTTATAACTCACTTTGACACTAGAGAATTTAAATCTACATGTTACTTCATGAGCCCAATAATAAAGTTAGACAAAGGAGAGAAGGGTAATTCGGAGAATTTCAAACTCCTTAAGAGGAACAAATGGCCGCTATTTACAGAACTCTTAGTACCTTAAAATTAATATTATAATTGTTGTCGGACTATGTGCTTGATTTTAAGTCAATCATAAGAATACACATTTGACCTCCATTAAGGGGATCTTTAGGTACATCAAAGTTTTTTAATATCAAAAGAATGAGCTTACTTGTGAGCTCATTGGTTTTTCTAATGTCGATTATGCAGGTTGCAAAGTAAAAAAAAAAGTCTAATGGTGATATAGATGGGGATGTTATTAATAGATTTTAAGTTGGTTGGTTGAAGTGAAGGAATGCATTGGGCTTATTTTGTGATAGAAAAGTACGGCTCAATCTGAAAGAAAAATTTTATAAGATGGTGGCGAGATCTATAATGCTCTATGGCACATAATGTTGGCCTTTAAAATAGAAAAATAAAACAAAGTTAAGTGTTATTGAGATGAGAATGCTTAGGTGGATGAGTGGCTTACAAAATGCGAAATGAATATATCCGTAATAAGGTTGGTGTAGCTCCGATTGCGGATAAGATTAGAGAGAGCCGTCTTAGGTGGTTAGTCACATTAAACGTAGACCATCTGATGATCTTGTTAGAAGAGTAGATGTTTTTGATTCGACTTTTGTTAAGAAAGGAAAATGTTGACCTAAAAAGATTTGGGCATACTGTATAACAAATGATCTTGATCTATTAGAATTAAATGAAAATATGATACTTAATAGGACGCAATGGAAAAAAAGGTTTCATGTAGCCGACCCCACTTAGTGGAATAAAGGCTTGTTATTGTTATTGTTGCTGTTATGATTATCTATTTATTTATAGTTTAAGAAAAAGAAAAGTTAGGTTCATTAATTCACTGCATAGGAAGAGTATGTGGCTGAAGGTAATTATATCGCACTAGTACTTAAACTAGCATTAAAAGCATATAAAATTAAACTAGAATAAATAACCATTATATGGAATAATACTAGTGTTATAAACTTGACTAAAAAATCCACTCAACATTTATTAACCTAATATAGAAATTTAACATCAGTTCACAAGAGACCGTGTGGTTCAAGATGTTGAAATAGAATATGTTTGCATTGATCAACTTCTTCACAAAACCCTTACTTGAGGATCATTTTGCACAATAGAAGATGTTCAAGTAAATTAGATCCATCACTATTGACTACATCTAACTCTACTAATTTCATTGTGTATTTATGGAGGCAATGTAGCAATTCAAAGAAAAAATAGAATCTATAAAACAATAGAATTAATAAAATCTAGGAAATAAGTTCAACAGAGACAAATCCCAAATTTAAAGAAATTATATTAAACATCAAATTATGTACAACATTCTATAACTAACTTTTGAAAAAAAGACTTATTTTATAGGATAATTTACATAAATGCAACACAATTTTTATGCATTTACATCTCAAAAAAAAAAAAAAAAAAGATTATATTCAATATTCAAATTATGTATAACACCTTATAGCTAACTGTTGAAAAAAAACTTCATTTTATAGGGAAAATTTACATAGACAAAAAAGCAACACAATTTTAATACATTTACAATACTAACATCTAAAGTTTGATATTCATATATATAACACCTTAGTGTCATAATCACATCCAAGCATATGCATGAAAAATGTACATTTCATTTCAAAAAAGTTTGGACTATGGGCATTTTTTATGTAATGTTACAGATTTGTGTTTTACAAGTAAATATTGAAATTTAGGTGTAACATGTATAAATGCAAAAGAATTGTGTGGTATGGATATAAATCCCACCATTTTATATACGAACACCCTCTAATAAATTAGATTTAAAATAAAAAATTTATGTTTTTGAGCTTTATAGGCATCCATTATCTTTAAATGGCCTCCACAAACTTCATGAGTCTTCGCCAACCTCTGTGCTTGCTCCGTAAAGTGGTCAATTTTGTTCAAATTTTAAATGATTATGAGGCCTAGATCATGATTTTATAAGTTTACAAATAGACACCTTACTTAAAAAAGGATATGCACCTTCCCTTTCTCCATTCAGGTCAGGTAATTTTGGACTTTTTAGGCCAATTGGCAAGTTTTTACAAATAATTAAAGAACGAAATATCTCAATAAAGAATAAGAGTAAAAAATTGATGAGTAAAACATACATTCCTACATGCCAAACTAAAGTGGTAATAAGCAAATTCTTACCTCTAGTGAATCCTTCAGCTTAGGGAAGACCTGCATAAATAAGGTAATTATATTAGCACAGTAAAGTTTAACTGAAATGTCTAAGAAGCTTGGAAGTTCATGTTCATACTTGCACATCCATATTGAACCAACTGTTCACCATGAGAACCATCTGCTAAAATTAGTGTTGCACTTCCAAGAGAACAGCCCCACAAGAAAATTACTGTATCAACCATTGTTTAAAGGGAAAAACTAAGTTGGATTCAATCCCTTCACTAACCTTCCAAATAATTGCCAAGTTTGAATCTTGTTTGAGAAGCATTTTCAGTTTTAAAATTATAAATAGGGTGTGTTAGCTTATAATTGTGATATCATTCGAGAGAGTTTTTAAAATTTCATGAAGCTCTAGGTTGTTTGAACCTAGTGAGAGAGATATATAACCTTAGACCACTCAATCCCTCGGACACAACCCTCGAAGGGAGCAAAATAACGCCTACGACTGTCTTAAACAAACTCACGCCAAAAACAAACTCTAAACTCATATGAAAATAAATATTAAATAAGAGGATAACTAAAAGTAGTCCAAGAGGACCGAACAACTCCTCAGAAGGGAGAAAACTCGGACCACTTTGGGGTTGATGCAAAGCAAGTGTGTTGTTGCTTTGTTTGTGCGACTCTAGCGTTGGGAGCAGGAGTGCTCCCATGTTAGTCTCCAGGGGTTGGGGGAGCATTGACCTCATATGTCAAAGCTTCTGTCTCCGTATAGAATGACGTTAGATTGACCCAAATGAAGATAGCGAAACTAGCGTAATCTCTAGGTAAGTCAATCCCATCGACGCTGTCATTTCAAAGCACATTTTGATAGAGCACAATCTGAGTTGGGAACGTTGATAAACGAGTATTCTCATGAATTAAGTCATGAGTCATTACATCTATAAACTGCTTTTCTCATTTCTCGTGCTCTGTTGGACGTATCTGATAAATAAGCATATATGAGGCGCATATGTCATCCTCAAATTTAATTTACGCCAATAGAAGCATTTTTAGGCATTCAAGGATTAAAAAATTGCACATAAAATGTACCTTATTGACAATAGAGGGTGCATCTTTTATAATGCCTTCAACATATCCGTAATGATCTTCTCATTAAGAACATTGAAGACAACATTCTTAGTCAAGGAAAAACTAGCTTCTAGTGTTTTTCTATCCATCAACTCTCACTCTTTTTAATCCATATTAGATGACCTTGATAACTTCAAGGATTGATGAAGCTTTCTTTGATAATGATAATATTTTATTTACATTGTCTAATAGTCGAACTTTTGGACATCAAATTTGTTCATAAGATTTGTTGATATTGACTTTTTGTCTTTCATTACTTAAATTTTCGTGTAGATTAGCCAAAGCAATGATACTCTACTTGTTTGAATAGTAATAAAGTTCAAGTAAAAGAAACCAAAGGAGGAAAAAAAAAGTGAAAGATCACAACCATAAAACACAAGTTTTCATGGCTCAAAGAGATCTATTTACACATAATAATTCAAATAATCTATCAAGTTTCAAAAGTGGACATATATTACACTATTTATAAATAAAGATAGATATACAAAATTATTTATGTCAATGATTAAGAGAGAATGCAATCAGTCACTATGCCCCCCCCCCAAAAAAAAAAAAGAAAGAAAGAAAGAAAGAAAGAAATAATAATAATAATAATAATAATAAAAAAACTGAATGTCACTACTTGTTTGAATAGTAATAAAGTTCAAGTAAAAGAAACCAAAGGAGGAAAAAAAAAGTGAAAGATCACAACCATAAAACACAAGTTTTCATGGCTCAAAGAGATCTATTTACACATAATAATTCAAATAATCTATCAAGTTTCAAAAGTGGACATATATTACACTATTTATAAATAAAGATAGATATACAAAATTATTTCTGTCAATGATTAAGAGAGAATGCAATCAGTTACTATGCCAAAAAAAAAAAAGAGAAAGAAAGAAAGAAAGAAAGAAATAATAATAATAATAATAATAATAAAAAAACTGAATGTCAAGAAAAGATATTGCTGCTACTAGCCTCCTCTAGTGCGAGCATCACCTCCATTTTAAACAAGCAGATGATCTCCCTTCTACAAACACTTGAAAAAAACCCTCCTTTATCCTTAGGTTAGCACCGCCTATCCTCTCCCTCTATTTTCACTTTACTTGTAGTTGTGGAGATTAGGGCTGTCAAAAAAGCTTATTGTTCGTGAACAGTTCGTGTTCGGTTCGCCAATGAGTTCGTGTTCGGTTCGCCAATGAGATGCGTTCGTTCGTGTTCGAATCGTTATTGTTCGAAATATAAAATAATTTAAAATAATTATATATAAATAAATTTATGATATTTAAAAAAATCAAATTTTATAAATTATAATATATATAATAAATTAATAATAGTATTATACTAATATACTATATTAGCAATATATTAAAATAGATATTAAATATTTATATAATATAAGTTATATAATTAATATAATATATTATTTATATATATTAATATTAGGGATGTCAAACTAGCTCATCGTTCGTGAACAGCTCATGTTCGGCTCGTTCGTTAAGAAACGAATACGAACAGTGACTTCACGAACAATTTCAAACACGAGTTTATTTCAAACAAACTAAATTTTAAATGAACCAAACACAAACACAAGCTCTGTTCGTTCGTGTTCGGTTCGTTTACACCCCTAGTGGAGATGACCTTCAACACCATACAATGATTTCTTATATAATGATTAAAGTTTGTAGAAAGCAAAATTGTAAACATTTACTAGATTTTGGAAGGGAATATAACTATAATCGATAGGTAGATGTGGCGGGTAACAAATTTATAGGGATTAAATAGAAGGTAGAAGAAAAAAACATGAAAGAGACAAGTACAAAAATTTATCTCCACACGCCAACACAAAACTCAATTACCATGAGAACATAAACTCAGCTAGAAGTCATTTAAAAGTATTAAAATTACAATTTTAATATTTATTAAAAAAAGTTATTAAATATTTTGAGGTTTTTATAATAAAAATGATCAAAATTAACTGCGGAAACTAACGAATGCGATAAAACTTGAACTTCTATGATGAGAGTAAAACTGAAAAGTTTAATGAATTTAAAAACTTATGCGCTATATCTTATATATCAAATTTAATCTCATTACTTATTTCATCAATATTGACATGATTATATATGATTCATCCACGACGTTCAATTCTATGAAGGTATTTTATTATAAATAGTAATTGATGCTCAATCTTATTCATGCACTTCACAAATTGTGGCAAGATCATAATTCTACGGATTAACTAAAATAGAGCTAGAAATATAAGAGCACGCTGACTTAAATTAAGAAAAATGAAACATGGGTTGGCATGTCTTTATGTGCTTCCATCTTTCACATTTAATATGATAGATTTATTACATTCCAAAGATCCATCTTAATTCATATTATCGAATGAAATGCCAAAAATAGGCTGCTTGTTGCTCTTTCTGCTCATTGAGAGGTTCATGCAATATGAATATTTACATTTAAAAAATTTGTAGAGTTCACCATAAACATTTAAGCATGCATTGCACCAACATGATGCTTTCTAAAGCATTCATCAACTACAATAAAAATGGTCAAGAAACTAACCTTCTTAGAAAAATATTCGAGCCGAGCATTATCAGTATCAATTATTGAAGAAGCTTCAAATCTCTCATACACCTGCCAATAAGTTGTAAAATAAGAAATTCAGCAATCAGTGATACTTAAACATAACACAAACATAAGCAGATAATAGGGCACAAGCTGAGGAAAAATGATACATTCCCTCGGTCAACATCAGTAAAAGAAAATTGAACTACAAAACAGCACAAACAAATACTATGGTTGCACCTATATAGCCATGACGAAGCATAAAAATAGGCACCAAGATGCCTTACAAGCATTCTTTCAGAAAATCAAAAATAAATTCACAAGTTAGTTTAGGTTGGAGGAAAATTTAATTAAAAAATAATAGCAAATAAAATTTTAATATTTTATGATCATATCTAATAATATTTAGAACTTTGAAAAGTCTTCAAATAAACATTATTCATATAGAGACTCAGCAGATCAATTACCTGGCGTACTTGAAGCAAAACCTTGTGAAGAACACCTTTATGCTTGCCAATCAACTTCACCTGAAAAAAATAAAATGATATCAATTACTCTGCAAGACTTTCTAAAGGTTATTTTTTTAAGTTGCATACCTTCCCTTCATAGTTAACACAAAGCCTGTTGAATAGTGCATTCATCTCTGAAATAATAGTAAGATAAACAGTTAGGTAAACTTAGTAGTTGTTTCATAACAAAAAACATAAAAAGGTTTACCAAAACTGCAGTGATAAAATAGATGTAAACTACAAAAGAGGAAGCACTTAAAACCATTAAAAGATTCTAGTTAAACATTAAAAGAGGCCAATCGGTCATTTTCTAAAAAACTTTTGAGCAAAATTAAAAGATCAACCGAAACAATTCTGGAAACATGTTTTTGGATTGGTTTCACAAGTCCCTGATACAAATTTGTGATTTTTTTTCCAGTTTCACGCATTTTGCTACAGCTTAAATTTCAACAGTAGTTTGCTAAATGGTTTTCATAAAACTCAACAGTTGCCAAAAAAACTCTTACTCAAGAAAATACTCGCTAACAGCCACATCATTATTTAAAGAGTAATCACAACAATAGAGTTATTTAGCTTTTTAAATAAACAAAAATCAAAATAATACACTGCACTACATAAATAATCATATTAATAAAATAAAAAATAAGTAAATTCAACTAATTGATATTATTAGAGTTACTAATACATATAATTATTTTCAGTACGTGCTAAATGCAAATAAACTCAAAAATCAATGTTGACACATGATTATTTTCTTTATAGCACGTATGAATCACTTTATAGCCACGACACATTTTGACAGTCATTCAAGTATGTAAATTATATACAGTACAAAAAAAAAAAAAAAAAAACATATTTGCAATTTACATGATGCCCTATGGATACTGATATATATATATATATATATATATTTGAACATGAGTTAGTTTAATAAGAAATTGAAACTGAGTACACCAAAAAATATCAAAACAACATCAAACAATAGAATTGAATACGTTTGAATTCGCCATTTCTCTGTTTTCAAAATGTTGATGTAAAATAAAAAATATTTAACAGTTTTGTTTTCATTTCCTGTTTTTTGAAATAAAATGGTTGGTTTCCAAAAGGGACAATTTCCCGAATAACACCCAAATCTTATCTATTTATAAATGCCACCTTCATTACCTATACTCATCAAATTCCCACCTAAATATCGAAGTTCATGGAAAAACCCAAGCACATAGTTTTCACTTTTGTCGAACTCTGACGGTTTAATTGTGAACACACAAATGCCTGGCTTGGTAATTTATTTTTCTGGAGAAGCTTCATTAGCGCATACGTAATATACCCTGCTTGAAATTTTGAAAACACCAATAAGCTTGTTTCACAAGTTTAAAAAACAACCCCAAGTGACTATTTCAATTAAATTATCTAAAAGTCAACAGATTAGGGTTAATTAGTGTATAATAAAGTCATTAATATTTTACAACATTTTAATTATGATAACTAGGAGAAGTAATTATATAATAAACTTAAAATATTTTTAAAGCTAAATATTAAAGGTAATTAGAGATTAACTAGGGTTTAAATAAGATCATTGTTTCATTTATTTTTTTATTAAAATATGTAGCTCTAGAAAAAAATTCATTAATTAATTATTCTTACAACATTTAAATATTAAGACAAATGAGCAATCAATTAGGATTTTATTATGATTATTAATATTATAATTGTAATAATTTATAAAAAGAAACAAGGTAAATAATTAATTTATTAATTAATAATATTAATTGATGAACAATGAGTCATTCATACAATCTAAAAATACATTAAAGTTTTAAGTTTACTAAAAAGTAATTAGTATTAATTATGATAATTAATTTAATAATTAATAAATAAATTGATACCAGCGTTAACCCAAACCACAAAAGAAAAATCAAATATTATTATTGAAAGCAAATAGAAGATAACAATTAAACATACTTGAAGAAAAATTACAACAAACATGACATATTCTCACAATAGGGCTCGATCTCGAGGTGGTGAAGGAATGCTATACGGTCAGGGAGCAGAGCTAGGTGGCTGACATAAGTTATGGACGGTTGGAATAGCAAAAGGAGGGGACCGAATTGCATTGGCAGCGAAGTGGAGGGTTGGAACAACGAGAGAAACCGAAGAAGAAGTGATGCTGTCTGGTACAGGGGTAGCAAGCAAGGACTGCACGGATAGTAGGATAGGCTGCAGTCAAGGCGGCAACAAGTTAGAATGCTAGTTGCACAATAAGAAACAATAGATTTACCATTTTTTGGATGGCAGTAGAGACAGTCGGCGACTGAGAAGGTTGGGAAAGGACAGAGGGAGTTGTGTTGGACGAGAACGAGGTAGGGAAGGAGGATGTAATGCAAAAACTATAGAAAACAACCAAAAGAAGCTGTTCTTGGAGGCTGCAATAGGGAAGGGGCAGTAGGGAGCAATGTGGGAGAATGCAGAAAGGGATAGGAGAAGTTAATCACCATCTCAAAAGAGAGATACAACCGAAGCACCACCCAATCCCTTAGATATAGCCTCGAATGGAGAAAACAAATGTCGACAAATATCCTAAACAAAATCATGCCAAAAAACTTCCCTTTAAATCCTAATACAACATTAATATAGGAAAGGATTAGAGAGAAAAGAAAGGAGATGATGAAACTGACTAAAATTGGAAAGGAAAAGAAAAAAAGGGTTGCTCTGTTTGATCTTCGCGCGACAGCGGGAGCTGCAGCTCGCTCCCGTGTCCCACTCATAAGTGGGAGATGCTCTCGAATCAGTCTCCAAGGATTGAGAGAACTTTGGCTTCATTCATTGAAGTTTTTATCAACTCATAATATGGAGTCAGGTCAAGCACGCTGCAAGCAATATAAATGTAGCAATCTCCTTGTATGTCAATCCTGCAAACATTATCGTTTCAAAGGACATCTTGGTAGAATTTGTATCCACCCTTTTTTTTGACAAAACTTGAGTTGGAGCTGCATGGATGGGTATCCTCATGAACCAAGGCTCGAGTCATCAATTTTGTAATTGACTTCTTTCACTCATCGTACTAGCTCAAGTGTATCTGGTAAACAAACATGTAGGGAGGATTCAACTCTGAGACAAAATCTATGGTAGGTTGAGCAACTCTAACTAGCAATCACTCTGAAGAGACCTCTTTTTATTTTCTGAAAGGATCTGGACACCACTGTAGATGCTCTTTCCCGCTAAACTCCTAAAGCAATTTCCAACATTACAAGTCATCCCTTTTGTTTGATCATCTGACGATGGCCGCATTGTTGAATTGACTATGTACTACCCAAATAACTCCCTAAGCTCTTCCAACAATAGCTCAAAGCTTCTCATCTCTAATATGCTGGACCTACCTCAGTTGGGGCAACCCAAGAGGTAGGCTATAAATCTGAAAAATTTTGAAATCTTCTTATCTGATGTCTAATAACGACCCCTATGGCCTTTCTGGACATCCAATGTCAGTCTTGTTGATGCTCCTTCGAACGCTTGCAAAAATGTAGTTTAAGGAACCAAAACCTCATACTAAAAATGTAGATCGAGACACTACAACCTTATACTCTTGTATGAACACCTATTAACTTGGACTCATTAATTTATAGCACCAAAAAGGTTAGTTCAACAAGAGTCTCTCTCTTGGTTTCAATTGGAATCACTTGTGTTTCTTCTCGTCAGCTAGAAGTTGAATATCCTTTTCCATAATCTTCTTACTTCTCCAGGATCACTGTGCATTACTTCAACTACTCCCTGATCAGTGAAAGAGATCATTCTCCTAGTTATGCAACCTAATTCAATATGCTCAAATCTGTGACACTTGAAACACTTCTTGGCCGGAATAAATTTAGGAATGCATATTGATTCCTTCTGCTCTCCACTCTGAACCAGTGTATCCTCAGGCGACGTCAGCTTAGATGTTCCCCTGGGTATACTATGGTTGTAAGATCCTAGGTTGAACCCTGCCTGTAAGATGTGGTGGTCACCTGATAAAATGATCTCCCCACTTTTGAAGCTATGGATAGAACATTTGATATGTAGTGAGCTGGTAGGAACTAGAGCTGCATCTCCCATTTCATCTTGAACTAAGTAGTAATTTTACTCTTCCTTTCTCGTTGTCGAAGAACCTTTAAGTTCGCCCACCATTGAGATGCACTCTTATTTAACTTGTTGGAGGCTTCACCATTATGTATGATGGGACGTCCTGACACTTCAAAACACATTCGAAAGTCTAGAGCCATTCGATGACCTCGTATAGATCCATATGACCATCGAAATACAACAAATCCATATTTACTTCAAAATTTTAACTTCTCCAACATTTCATGTCAAATCTTCAAGATATTGATTCTTGATCTCAGGGATCGAATGAAATTTGTGTAAACCCTCAAAATAATCTTTTTTCTTCAATTTCGTCAACGATACCTAAATCTATCTCTTCCATGATAAACTCTTGATCAGCATCTGACTCTTACCTCCTCAGAGGCATGATTAGGGTTTGGGTGTAGGTAGGTAAAAGGAAATTATAATGGTGATGTAGGGTGGGGAAAGCAAATTTAGAGAGGGTGGAGTTAGATTTGGGTATGGCGGATGCTAGAAACCCGAGGGTATGATTAGGGTTAAGCTAGCACTGATACCAAATGATACTGGAGTTACCCCATAACACAATGAGAAAAGTAAATATTATTACTGAAAGCAAATATGTGATTACAATCAAACACACTTGAAAGGGAAATTACAATAAACACGACACAAACTCACATTAGGGCTCGATCATGAGGTGGTGGAGCTCAGCTAGGTGGTCGGAGAGCGGAGGCAGGTGGCTAAAATGAGTTCTGGATGGTTGGGATAGCAAAAGGAGAGTTTGGAATTGCATCAACAGCGAAGCGAATGGTTGGGTCAGCGAGTGGCAATGAAGGAGAAGGGTCGTGCGCTGCAGGATAGCAAAATGAGTATTGTCTGGTGCGAGGGTAGCAAGAAAAAACTGTAGGTACAACAGGATAGACTGCAGTCCAGGAGACAACAAGTCAGAATGACTGTTGGACAGTAGGAAAATAACAAATTTGCTATTTTCCGAATGGCGGCAGTAAGGATCGGTGATTGAGAGTGATGCGGGAAGGTTTGGGAAGGATGGAGGCGGCCGTGCAGGATGCATCAAGGCGGGGAAGGGAGGCTATAATGCAAGAATTGTAGAAAACAGCCAAAAGAGGCTATTCCGGGTGGCTGCAGGGAAGGGGTGGTCGGGAGCGAAGTGATAGGATACAGAAGGGGATATGAGAAGATAATCACCACTTTGGGAGAGATGAAGCCGAAGCACCACCCAATCCCTCGAATACAGTCCTTGAAAAAAGAAAACGAACATCGGAGGCTGTCCTGCACAAACTCACGCCAAAAAACTCTCATATAAACCCTGCTAAAACACATATATAAGAAAGGACTAGAAATGAATGAAAGGAGAGGATGAAATTGATTAAAAATTGGAAATGAGACTGCGAGTCGCTCCCGCATGACTAATAATTTATAAGATGTATGAATATTTAACCATGTAAGGTTAATTCATAAATTATTAGAATTTTTATCAACATCGTTAAGGTTATATTTCAATTAAATTATGATAATCAGCCTGACAATTGACATCAAATTATTCATAATAATAAAAAAGTACTACAATTAATTAGATTTTAATTAATAAAATTATTCAAAATTTTTATAATGAAAATATTAATTATTCTTTATTTTGATTAATTAAATATATACAACAAATTTAAATGTTGATTAAACAAATATGTTATTAGTAGTTATTGATTACAATGATAACATTAAATAACTAATGGTTTGATAATATTTAATCATAATTATTCATTTAAAATTATATATTAAGGAATTAATTGCAATAATTACGTAAATATGAATTACCTTTCTATTTTTTATTGCAAAATATGTTTTCAAATATTGTTTCTAATAAAAAATAAAATTTGGATTATCTAAACATATTTGGTAATGTAAAAGACATAAACAAAATTAAAATAAAAGAAAAAAAAAAACCATTTAGCATGGGTTTCAGTCAAGAATGCTACATTTAGCGTGCTTCCAATGTTTACTACTAGAGAAAAATTTGCCATACAAGCTAAAATGAGAAATTGCACATTATCAACATCATCGTTGTAAGAATTTTTTCACTTGGAATGACTTGAGTTTGACCTTAATATTCATTCGCAAAACTATAAATGCTGCTTCTTCTAGTATAGTTAGCTACCCATTGAACCAATTATATCAATTTTAAGACCCATTGTCAAAGCTTCTTCTAAGCACCATATAAGATAAGCTTAAGTTAAGGTTGCTGAGAACAAAAAGAATGAGGAACAACAATTATTTTTATTTTAGCTTTTCTTTTCTAGGAGGAGTTTGTGGATGGAGAGAATAAGAAACATTTTATGCGTAACGTAGTGCTTAAACAAAGAACAAGAAGCGTGTCAAGTGGGCAGATAGATTTGTGTGCCAACACCTAGGGGTGTAAGTGGGTCGAGCCAACTCATGAGCCTACATGATTTCAAACTCGTTAACGAGTCGAGCCAACTCATGAGCCTACATGACTTGTGAGCTTGAATTTTGACAGACGAGTCGAGCTTAAATTTTGACAACTCATGAGCCTGCATGAGTTCAAACTCATTAACGAGCTCACAAGTCGAACTTATTGAGCCAGAGCTCAAGCTCGAGCTGAAACTCAAGCTCGTTTAGTGCATGAGCTCAAGTTTAAGTATATCCAGGCTCGGCATGCAGATCGATAGTCGCATTGATTCCTTTCCGGTGAGCTGTTGTGGCACTCCTTTTTCTCCGGCTAACGATGCTTTCTCCGGTGAGCTTCAATGATAATTTGATTTTCGGCTTGAGGTGTCATCATTGCGAAACAAGCTTGAACTTGTCATTCGAGCTCGAGCTTAAATTTTGACAGACGAGTCAAACTCAATTTAGGCATGGCTCGAGGTCGGCCCGTTTCATTTACACCTCTACCGACACCTCAAAAGAAACAATATTTTTTTTAAATACAACAATTAAAAAATTAAAGCATGGTGCTACTGTAATACCCACAATGATTAAAAAGTTGAGCAGAGACAGTGCTGGAAGGGCGAAACTGAGAATAAAAACTCTTGGTTAGAAAGTTGAGAGGAGAAAACGAGGGCATAAGAGGAGTTTCAGAAGAGTAAGGTACGACAAAACTTATATTAATATATATTTATATAATTATAATCTAATGAATAATTTCAATTAACCCAAGCAATATTCTTTAAAACCTCTTCAATTTCATGTAATTGGTAGCTTAAACAAGTAATGGCAGCAAGGGTGTGGATTGGAAGTATTAGAAAGAAAGAGGAAATTTTAGTGGAGGTATTAAGGTTAGCAAAAAAACAAATATGAAATTATATATAAGTGCTAATATTAAATTTCATTAAACCTAATTAATTACCCTTCTTTTTAATCTTATTGGGCATTTCAATATAGTCATATCTGTAACACTAATCTAACGTTGGCCATAAAAATAATTGGAAGAAGAAAGAATAAGAGAAAGAAACGAAGCTTGGACTAAGTTGTGTGTTTATAGATTGAATAAGGAGATGTCAAATTGAGATTACAATATGTTAGATTAAGTTTAAATCTAAGATTTTCATACAATTAAATGAAATTATGATTTTAGACAGTTTATACAAGGAGGCGAGCCTAGGATAGGGACTTGTCTCAAAGCTGTTCTGACGAATCAGGTGAGATACTCAAAAGCTAAATTAAGAATCAAATTATATGAATGACTAATATTTGCAATTGCATATTATTATATACTATTAATTGTGTGTTTAAATTTAGAATTTCTTTTAAATGGAGCATAACTATTACTGTCAGCCTAAATGAACATCCACTTAATTTCAAGTTATAGTATATAATAGAATTGTAATAGTAAGTATGAATTACATATTATATTGTATATCTTGCGCATGTTAATAAAGTGATTGTTTCAGGTACATTCAAATTAAGAAATAAATGCATGTGAAATTGACTACAATTGAAAAAATTAATTTAAAAAATGATTTGTTGCAATAGATAAACATATATATTGATGATATGTGCAATGAGGGCAAGAGTTTTGACAATATGAGACTTGAAAGAGAAATGATTAAATCTCGACTATTGATAGTAAGATTGGAGCGAACCAATTAGTATTAGGGGTTGTTGATAAAGCAAAACATTAGAATGACCGACCTTCATCAACGATTACTATAACAAACAGATTGTGATGAGCCAATGAAATAAAATAGGTCAGAACATATTCCAAAGATAAATAAATTGAGAGTAAGAAAAAAAAAAGTGAAGGCACAAAATATTATATGTTATAGTGAATGAAAGATTTGTCAATCACAGTATTATTATGATTATCATCATTTCTTCAACTACATGTAAATCATGTTTCTTGTGCCCTTAAGTATTTAAGCATGTTTGTTACTATTACTCGAATGTAACTGCTGACCAACATACACGTTTTTCATTTCTTGTATATTATTTTAGCATTGATTATCTCACTAAGACTGTAGCTTACTTGATACAACTATGTTACTTTTTAAAATGGGGTAAAGAACAAGTGGATCGTTAGACAAGTGATCTGTCTTTTATATAGCTTTTAAATGTCAAATTTTGGGTGATTATAGAAAATTTTTGTTAAGAGTTTTAGACACCCTGTATTTTATTTAGAGGATTTAGCTATACACGTTTCTCTGATGTTGTTTAATATCAATGAATATTTGATGTTGAGAAATGTAAGAGTTTGCTTGGGACAATTTGGTAAAACTTATTTTCTACTCATTTGATCATGATGAGTACACATAAGGGTCAATGCCAGTAAAAATTGAGTCTAATTAAGTCGTCCATCTATGTTATTCATCTAGTTAAATTAAGAGGATTGGTTGGGTTGCAAAAAATACTGTGCAACTAACCTAACTTGACAGTTTTGTGCTTAACTCTAACCGCAAAGTTTTGAGTTTATATGAGTTTAAAAAGAAAACATAATTCTCAAAAAAATATTAATAACCAGTCAATAATAAAAAGGGCTAAAGGAAACATAATTCTCAAAAAAATATTATGAAATTAGGAATTTTATTACTCAAATTCACAATAAAAATGAATGTGTAACACAAGTTTCATAACCTGGAGTAAGAAAGGAACTTAGTAGTATTGTTTGTCGATAAAATCGTGCATGCCCTTCTAAGTACCTGTTCAGGAACAAAATATCTGATAGAGGTCAAAAATGAGTTGAAACCACTATATTCAAGATCCACTTTTTTTAATGAAGCCAAAATGCTATACTAGAATTGTCGAGGGAAAAAAAAGGAAGTAAATTATTAAAAGTAATTGATCACTCAGACACATGAAAACTAAAGAGTGGCACATTTAAATCTTTTAGCTTGAATTCCCGTGAAGGTAGTTTACTTCTCGCCTTATGCATGATGATAGTTTAATATTGGGTTTACATCTAATTTATCCACGTCCTTAGAGTAGAAAAATAATTAAAAGTCATGGAATCATGTAACGAAAGAATTACTTTTCAATAAGTAAAAAAAGTACATCAATATCAAATACCAATTTGCCAGTTGGCATATTAGAAGAAAATTAAAAAATAAAAACCTAAAAAGAACAAATAAAACCCCTATAGGTGGGATGAACCAGCCACATAAGCTCCCATGATGGCCTTGTTCGCTTGTTCACTCAAAATTTTATATGTTTCATGTTAAATTACACTCGGCTCCTGGAGGTTAAGGGGTTAGTTTATGTTGAAAGAAAATCAATTAAGTTGTATATGAAGGGAGTAGTTGAAGTGGAATATTAAAAAGAATGGGGGAATTGGTTAGGAAGCTAAAGAAAAGTGCACCCACTTTATACAGTGCAGAGAGTATGAAACAAGTTTAGATCAGGGCTTGAACATAGAGTGATGTTTTGAACAAAAAGCTCTGTGTAAGCATGTGGTCAGTTCTTTTCTTGGTTATTTTATGCCTGTTGGTATAATACCGTTAAGAATCCAGGTTTGAACTGTGCTTGAACTTGTTTGAATAAATATTTTGGTATGGTTTGATGTCCGCTGATAACAGCCCTCTACAATTACATCAATGAAGGTTCCAATCAAAAACATGATACGGAAAAAGAAAAAGACTAAAAGGATGTTTGGTTAGCTGAAAAGGTGATGTGGTGCAAAATGAAAGCAACGTAGGAGTAATGTATTGTATGATAAATACTTTGTAGAAAATAAGAATAATTACTGAGGCTTATAATAATTAAAGCAAAGCTCAAACACTTGCACAGAGGCGAGTGAGCAAAGTAAACTCTATAACTTGAAATGATTCATATAATAGAGAGACTAAAGAGGAAACAGAAGCATATAAAAAAAATAAAATGAGAAAAAAGAGATATAAGAGTATATGATTAATTTAGGTCCATTAGTTGTAAAGATAATAGTATCTTAGTTAAATATCAATAAAAGAAAGAAAGACAAAAGGGACTTTCAATAAAAAATTAATTTTCAAGGAAGAAACCATATTAAAAATAGCATAATAGTAAAATAAAAAAGTATATTATTTAAATAAAATGAACTCTGGATGTTACATAATCATATGAGATAAATACTGAGATGGCTTAATTAGCAAATCATACAAGTAAAACATTGAAAACTAAGAATATGACAAATGACTAAGAAGAAATATCTAGGTATCATCAATTAAGAAATTAAAAGGTGCTTATTATTTTGAAAATTATACAAGAATCAAATTATGAATCATGAAACTCTGGTAGAGATTAATAGACCAAAGACTTCAAAATATGTGTCACTATTAGAGGGATCATGCAAAGCAAGCTACTTAAAGATTACCTTTGTGTGAAGATAAGCAATTACAAAGTATAGAGAACAAGAAAGAATTTTCAATTAATATGTACTGAGCTTGCGAAGGCAAATGATTGCGTTATCATGTAACTTGACCTAGTGTACACAACAACAACAACAACAACAACAAACAGCCTTTATCCCACTAAGTGGGGCGGCTACATGAATCCTTTTTCTCCATTGTAACTTATTGAATGTCATATTTTCATTTAATTCTAAAAGATCAAAATTTGAGTTATATCTTTCTACATTGATATTACGAAGAAAAATCAAAGTGAGAAGGCACAATGTATAATTCGTGTAGATATCATAATTCTAACAAATGTGACATCAACTGAAATAAATGAAAAATCAAGATAAAAAAAAATAATGTTTAGAAAATAAAGGACATAAGATTTGTTGAACAATGATTGATAATCAAATAAATTAATTTATTAGTTATGCTATTAGCAATTATCTTTTCCCGCCGATTAAAATCAAGATTTAAGTTCATATTTTATTGTGCTAATTATGATAAATGTTACAAAGGAATATTTGAAGTGAAGGGCCTTAGTGCATACTTTTTATGAATGATATAATTCTAGCAAATGAGGCATTGCTAGAATAAAAGTAAAGTTAATAATGGAAAAATTTTAAGAAAATCAATGGCTTAACACTACTAATATAAAGATTGAGCATATGATATGCAACCTTAGTGTGAATGATATTGGCAATTATCAACAAATATTACAAGAAGAAAAAAATATTACCAATGTATGATAGGTTTAGTATTTTGGACCTAGTGATGTAGGAAGATTCAAGGTTGGAATTCTCTAATGCAATATATGATACGGAGTAAAAATATAAACACAGAAAATTGATTGTTTGCTTGCAGGCTAGCACGGCATCGTCGATCGCAGGCTCGCACGGTGTTCTTCGATCGCAGGCTCGCACGGTGTTCTTCAATCGCAGGCTCGTGCGGTGTCATCGATCGCAGTTGATACGACTCCTTACGCTCCGTCATTTTGCTCGCAGGCCCGCACAACGGTTTTGGCTCCGTCTATAGGCTGATTCATCTTCCTCCTCGTTCGATCTCGACAGAAGCGTCTTCGGCTTGGCCTCTGTTCGACGCTGCTCGCTATCGCAGTCTTGCGGTGCTTGCTTTCTACTGCCGTCAGCTGCACTGCCCTATCTCCTGCGGTGCTTGTGTGAAGCACGCTAATGGTCTCAGGGATTTCCTAAGTTGCCGCCCTCGCTAGTGATAACCCCGCCAAACCCTCCTATGCTACAGTGGTTCACAAATGCAACCCTCCTTTCCACCTCGCAAATAGTCCGATATTCCCGCAGATGTACCATGATTCTGTTGCAGAACATGGAAATTGCAATCTCATCAAGAAAGCAGAAAAAAAGGCGGGTAAATCGGAAATATTCTTCTCTGATGGTGAAATTTCAACTCGTGCGGGAAAATACAAATTTACACTAGTTGGAAAATTCCAATTAGGTTGCCCAAAGATGGTAATTATCAGGAAGGTTTTTGAAGACTTCAAACTAGTTGGGGCCTAACAGGTGGGTCATTTCGACGGAAGACATGTTATGATACAGCTGAGTGTAGAAGAAGATTACACAAGTATTTTCTCAAAGAAATTTATCACAATAGAGGGCAAACATATGAAATTGCTCAAATGGACCCCTAATTTTGATCACAATCAAGAACACCTAATTAAACCTATCTGATTCTCATTACCTGAACACAAGCTTCATTTTTTTGACCTACCTATCTTATATGCAATTGAGACTATCATTGGAAAACCTTTACAGGTAGACACAGGTAGAAACCTTTACAGGTAGACTTACCCACAGTTCATTTCTCAAGGCCCTCTACTGCAAGAATTTTGATTGAAAGAGATATTACACTACCAGATGTAGAAGAAGTCTGGTTTGGTTCTGCCCACAATGGTTATTGACAAAAGATCATTATGAAACAAAAACCTTACTATTGTAAGCACTGCAAAATGTTTGACACCCGCAGGAGAAATGTTTCAGATTGCACCCACAGTTGAGAACCAATAGTCAAAAGCAAGAACATACCTCACCTGTCTGAATGCAATCCCAACAAACCTGATGATAGTCAACTTGAGGAGGGAATCACCACGAGACAGGATCTGGTGTCTGCCCCTGGGAACCCTTCTCTCGACCATACTACAACCGATAATGTTCAGACCGAAAATCAGGATAGCCCACAGCTCCGATTTAGGAAGTATCAGGTGCAGAGGTGAGAATTCACATTTCACATACACTGGAATCTATCGTTGTAGCAACGACTGTCTTTCCTTCTACTGCGGTTTCTACTGCGCTTCTACTGCGATTCTAATATCTAATCAAACTGAGGATCACATGAGTCAATCTTCTGATGAAGAATGATAGGTTTACACTTCTCGACGGAGGAAAAAGACTGGGGGCACACTCCAACTTGGAAACTTAATGGATGATACTTTGGTTACTCCGGGCAATGACACGAAACTTCAAAGTTTGTTATCTGGCTCCGCTCCTAAAACTAGAGGAAGAGGCAGGACTAAACTGGTTCGTCCTTAGCTACTTGTTTTCTGCAAATTTTAATTTTCTTGAGTAATTCTGTATCTTGTAGTTGAGATATTACTATACTTTGTATCGTATGGGTAGGGTGCCTATATTGGGCCCTCTCATACAACATTCATGTATCTTCTTTATTTCAATAAAATCAGCCCTTGGGCTTTAAAAAAAAAAAAAAATAAACACAGAAAATTGAGAAGCCTCCAAAAGAATTAAACCCTTATTACTATTATTTTTAAATACAGACACACAATATTAGAATTAGAATTTCGATGATAACAAATGATCAAAATAATCTGAGAAATCTATCAAGAATTTAAAATCACAAAATTATTGAGCAATTATAAGTTAACTTTCATAAAATTAATTTTTGGCATCCCAAATTCGAATACAATCAAGAGCAATATCATGCAGATGAAGAGCAATATTATGCAGCATATCAAACAGATGGAGGAAAATGCAAGGTTGATTGAAACGGTCACAAGAAAAAAAAAATAGCCTCCACCTAATGCAACCAAACAAGTTTCTTAGATACCGCATGTAAATCTAAACAAACAAAATTTCTAGGGTTACCAATAAGGGTTATTTGTGTCATTTTCATAGGAACACTCCAAACAATTTTAAATGATAATTTTGCATTTAAGAAGATAAACTATGACAAAAAATTTGTCATCAACATTGCTCAATCCTATACAACATAGATGTGCCAAACATGTGTTAGTGAATATACATTTATAAAAGAAAAACTTGAAAATGGATTGCTTTGCACTCTAT